ACAATGACAGTGTCTGAAAAGCAGAGAGATTACAATGTCGAAGAGGGACTCGCAAACTGCTAGCTGCAACTAATTTACTTCAAAGTTTGCAAAGCTCTCAGAGAGAGGGAAAGGATATGCAGGCTGAAGTAGAAGATGTCGTCCACACTGCATCCCAGAGTATGGCAGAAGACAGTTTTGCACATCTACCAGGCCCATATGACATGTTTCTCACTCCAGGTAGAAATATGAACAGCTGCGTTGAGAAGTGGATAGAACATTACCGCGAGTTCAGAACACCCGACATTTGGAATAGTGGTGTTGCTAAAGAATGAGGAATGAACTAGTTAACATGAAGTGAATGCAGTTTTTTTCTGACTTATGTTATGATGCCTCTAAGTGTGAAGTTGTAATTTTTGTACAAAAGGTAGGGAACCGCCATTATTTACCTTTTTTGGGTCACGTTTTTCCACTTCAAATGTCGTGATTGTGATCGTATTCGCCCAGGTAACCAGAGTTTGTATCTCTTCTATCTTGGACTTTGCGGTGCGAGAACTCCTTGTTTTTTTCGACTCCTTTGTGTCCCTGAAGCTTTCATATGATACCCAGACATGTTTTGTTGACAGGCTTCTCTATAACCAATAATAGTGAAATATTCTCAAATTGAAATCCTACTCAATGAACTACTCACTTTTGATCAGCACAAAACAGATTCAGAACGGTGGTCACTGTGTTTCCAAATATCAACTCTCTGAAATGATGTCGCAAGTTAACAACCGCAGGACCTTCGGACAGTGAGCAGCAGCGTTGTCCGGATCGGAAAAACAAGTACAGGCTTCATGCGAAAGTAATTAAACGGAAATCTTCAAACAGTCTAAGAGAGAATGTGAGATTGGTGAGCTATTGCTTTTCCCTAGAAAAAAGCCTCTCGAACATCTCTGATTCCCTTACAGCTTGGTACTCAAGGAGGTCGTAATCCAGGGATTATGATTGACAACATGGAATTAGAATGCGCTTTGCAAGATATGCATGACCGTCTGCGTCCTTTCCACTTAACTGGAATACAACCTGGACTTCCCACATAGAAAAACTAATTCGTAGCATTTACCTGCGCTCTTATAGGGCGATAATTGTGAGCTGCAAAAAAGGCGACAAAACTTTGGCAATTCATATCTTGCTGATCCATTTTATCGTAATGGAAGGGATCGAATCCGATAAAACACTTGGATAGAAAGAATGTTGAAGTAATTGGACCTCAGTAACTAATGAATCTATCTCAATTTGTTCCTTCTTGTAGCACTTATCACAAGCCCCTCTTTCCAGATTGCTTTTATTTGTGGCATCACAAAAACACCGTACCTATCAAACAGCGCATCATCTTTTTTGAAAGTTTCCAAATCTGCGAATGTTTCAAAGTTTTTCTTGTTGAATGGTGGTCGTTTCAATTCTGCTCCATTGACAACCTTAACCAATGCAATCACTCTCAGACCTCGGAGACTGAATATGATTTCTGTTGTTGGCTGGATAAAATTATCATATGCACTTCACTTAAGTCAGAAACTGATGGAAAGACGATATGCACGTGCCTTGACACAGAAGTAGATGTTTCTCTACTAAGCGAATACGAATTAAATCGAAATGGTCATCGGAAGCATCACAGTTCTTTGCTCACTTGTGACAACTTCTGGGTCTCGGTTGGATCACCCAGCATAAAGCCTTGTTTTGTCGCATAGCCGAGGGATGGACCGAATACGTCGTCGCTGATCAGATCGGAGGGATGGATGTTGCCGACCGACGTTGCTCGTCAAATGCAAGTTCATACGGCCATCGCTCATCGGAAGCGCACTCATGCCTCAACATGACGACGTACTTGACCAGCAACCCTTGAGGACGTTTCCACAATGCTGAACAGATGACCGTACTTCCGTGGTTCGTCCCTGCTGAGGGAGGTTTCCACAAAATGGCAGCAATGCTGAACAGATGACCATACTTTCCGTAGTTCGACCCTGCTGGGGGAAGGTTTCCACACAAATGGCAGTGGCTCTAAACTACTGCTGATGATCATTGTACATGAAAAACTCCACCATTTTAAGTTTTAGGGAGAGCCTAATTCTGCCTTTTTCCAATAAAGTGTCGATGCTTTCATCGAACATCTAGATAGAATGCCGCATATCTCAAAGACATACTAGAATCATCGACTGATGAAACACTCAACTAGACGGTGTGTTCGAGCGGGTTCAGCATTACAGGTTAAGAGGTGGTCTCGAGAGTGCATTTCTTTTTGGACTCCGCTGAATCCATCCAGACCGTTACGGAAGCTGATCAACTATTCAGCCAGGTCATCGCCTACACAAGATCAGGGAACTAGCCCAAGATTAGTGAGATTACCCCTTTGAGCACTACTACAACATCCAAGACACTCTGACAATTGCCCTTAGTCGATGGCTGCCTCCTAGTTGCAACACACATACAGAGTTATGCCACGATCACTATTACGGTGAGTTCTTGCTAGCTCCATTAGGCTCATCCTGAACAAAAAAGGAAGAAATGTTGGTTTGCAGGTAAGTAATCTGGCTAACGCCAGACGTCTACATGGAACAAGCCGTCACATGCTGCTGATGCTGACCAAAACCACACTATACGTGAAGAAAATGCTGACTTCCCACGCTCAGTGGAGACACGCTGACTCCGCAGGGCCATTGAATGGATAACTTTATATAATTTAGGTTCATACCCCAAGTGGCCTGAAATCGTCCAGATGACAACAGTATCCTAAACCGCTCGATTTGAGTGATGGAGCATATTTTCGCCATGTTTGTTTCGACGACTCAATGAATTCAGTCAAGGAATACAACATGCAGTTCAGTTCTTCGAACTTTGCTCTGATCTGTCGTTTCCGAGGATGCACTCATATCCGAACACTGCTGTTCCATCCACAAAGCACTGATCAAGCTGAGCGCTTTGTAGGCATTTCCATGCTGGAATTTGCCTAACTGTAAAATGAGGGCGCACCAATTCAATCGCCGATACGGAGCAAGACGTCACAAATTCGAATGCAATGGCGCTCGACTAGGGCTATGGAAAACTGAAACATTCCTGGACGACCGATAGAGTTGAGCGGCGTGTTGGAAACAAGACCTATATCGCCCGTTACCTACTATGGTCGCGACAATTGAGCAAGCTGTAACCCAGATACGGTACGGCCTACAACGGCTGCACGAGTTAGACGACAACAGCACCGACTCCAGGTAGGCCCAAAAGGGTGCGGATTCAGATAGCTTCAAAGGAACTCCAGGCTTGATATTCTCATGTATTGTATTTAATCATCATTCTCACTGCTGTAAATCTATTTTTCTCTTGGAGGTTGCGACTTCAACGAGCTTCAGCACGAAAAAGCTCTTTCTTAACTACGATAATAATGGAAGCCTTGTTACCTTTTCGATGGCCTCAATGTCAACAGGATAGTCGTCCTCAGCCATCTCTTCTTCGTCACTGAATAACTTTTTTACAGCGATTCGTTAAGCAAGTGATTGATCGCTTCACATACAATTGCATTTTGTATGTCCATTACAGATGCCGTCACCTTCAGTGACATTTTTTACTGACGTGATTGAGCTGTAATTTTTATTTCCATCTTTCCCTATTTTCTTAATGTGAACTTATTCCTTTTACGCTCTAAAATTGCATTTGCTGCTCCCAAAACACACGCACACATACACACACAACACACACACGCACAACACACAGACATTAGCGCGTCATATATAGTAGGATAGGCGGTACAGGTGCTATGTTCGCGTTGAGACCCACACGTTTAGCATGCACTCAGCTGATCGCTGGGTGGTAAGGTGATGGATTACACTTATTCTGTTATTCTCTGTAATTCATTTTGCTGCTGCGGTCCTTTACCTAGTTTTCTACTTTATAAGGATGAAAACGATGGATCACTTCTGATGTTAATAGTGTTTTTGTTAACTTATGCCTATGAGTGAATGAAGCTTAGAAGACATTTTCGCTTACTCTAGTCACCTATTCGTACCAGGACCCACACGTACTCAATGACACGTAATGTACAGGTTGTCCGAACACCCTTTCTACTTCCTTTTCGTGGTCTTATTCTCAACGAGCCCTTTTTTTACGACTTTTTCAAAGCATCTTATCAATTTGGGGTCAACGATTCGCGTGCTCTCTTTGCCTCCATCTGGATATAAGAAACTTATCAGCAACAGTGCCTTTGATAAAGCCCGTTCGATCCTGAGTAGGAATCGCGCTCTTTTGAGCCTGATTGCCATGTTCTCTCGCAACTCCTGCCTCAGGATCGAAAGGAACAGGAAGTCCTCTTGAAAAGAAGGATTGGAAGATACCGAGAAAGCAATAGTGAAGAAGGGTTCTCATCTTACACTCAGTAGTCGCTTGCCCATCATGTTACGTTCCAAAGTTTGTGTCATTGAGAGATACGGCAGTCGTAGTTCTTGCTAAGGCAAACCAAGAAAATATGCCATTTAAGTTCTGCGAAACCTTCGAAAGCAGTTGATGCCCCACTGATTAATGCGACAGCTCTCGCACTTACTCATTTTCTTGAAATTCGCTTAGAGTGAGGGGTAAAATGCAAGCGTAGTAAGGTCTTTTCTTCTGTTTTTCTTGTTTCTTTTTTTTCACCCATTCATAAATTTTTCAGTACATACCCAGTTGACACTGTCCAAAATGGACATCCCTTGATGAACGGATTAGCCGCATTGATACCTTTTTTCACTACTGATCTGCTTTCATCTGAAAATCGGAAAGTACAAGGACATATTGGAACACCAGGTAGTTACCCATGCTTAATGGTAAGAAACTTCAAAGTGGTGCCTTGGTTCGGAATTCTTTATCAATTTCAAAATATTCAGGTGTTTCCTAGTGTCTGTCATGATTGGGGAGTGGAAAATGGTATAGAATTTGGAAAAAACATGGACTTAAAAGAAGGTTAGTGCAAGTAATATGGCTGACTGTACCAATTTCATCTTCCTCAGCCAGTTCTGCTGGAAGGGTTTTCTCAGGAACAGGTGCCAATGGGAGCAGAATCTTATTTTTGCTGGAATTTCATGTTCTTGATTGTTGTAATAAATACTTGAATGGATGTAGTTATAGGAGAAACTTATCATATTCAGATGTAAAACTTTACTATGGGATTTGAGAAAAGAGATGGGAAATCTTTATTCGACAAAGGCATTGAAGGCGAAAAAGAAGTGAGGGTGGTCTGGAAACAGATTTAGGCAGGGAGAAGTCAGTAGAGGAATGTTGCTGGAGAGTGGTCTTTTCAGGGAGTTGGCATAACAGGCAATAAAAGTGGGCTCGAGTGGGCTATCATGATCTTCAGTGGCTTAACGCATCCTTTTTGCCTCGTGCCAGTATCTCTGCACTTCCCCTGGTCCCAGTACTACTGTAACTTTTCCGTTAGTTTTTCTCCTTCGTTCTTCTTCTCGGAAACTGTTACACTTCCCATTCACTTTGACTTTTGCTGCAAATCTTGATTTGCTTTTCCTTACCCGCCCACATTACTCTCTCATCCAATCATCTTGTATATCGGACTCACTTTACTGCTCTTTCCTACACAGCACTCGATCTTTGAAGGTTGTCACGAAACAAAACCCAACACTCCCCCAACGAGGCCGTGGGAACTGAACAGAGAACAATAATAGGAAAGAAATAATGGGTGTATAAGGTCGATCAAGTGCATGTGATTGGGAAGGAAGGTATAAGTCAGAATTAGTGGAATGGCAGTGAAAAATGGAAAATAGTGAGAGGATTTCCTTGTAAAGATGAGACGAACTTATCCGGTCTGTCCACTGTAGCAGCTACGCGTTTTTTCTTCCCGAACCACGTAGCAAACTTGGGATTTGGGCGAATTGACAGAAAATATGCCTTTCGTTCACCAAATCCCATCGAAACTCCACGTTTTCGCCGCGGGAAGGACTGAAATTGTCTTGTAATCCTTTGCCCGAATGTTAGATGCATGCCGGAAAGCACCAAGATGCAAAGAGGAAACTTGCGTGATGGTTGAACTGACATCATCCGGATTTTTGGAAGTGGCCGCGCTTTTTGGACGAAACTGATATAGGATTTCCATTTTACGGAATTCAACATAATTCTTTTCTTCTTCTCGTGCAAGTTCCCTAAAAACAACTAACTTTGTTCTATTTTGGTAGTATCGTAAAGATTAGAACAGGCATGGCCTGAACTGGCAGTCAGATGCTGTATAGATTAGCAAGAACTGAAGAGAAGTTGACTTTCGCAATCATCCAGGTGTCCATTTTATTGAGCTTGCGAATGCTCACAGTGACCAGACTTTCAGAGAGCGCTCCGATAACGTAGCGCTCCGCAAGCCTCACCGTCGGGTCAGGTACGGGTACTATGTATACGTTTGAGACGATCACAGGCATTTCTAGAAGCGGTAGACGTCATGACCGGGGTACACCATAGACCAACCATCTCGGTGCTCGTTCTTCTTGCTGCTTACAATGGGCAACATAAAAAAGGATCAAATGGACGGGCATCTCAGGCCATTTGATACATTGACGATTTCTACTGATAGTGGATATTGAGGAAGAACACCGGGACAAGCGAGAGATATAGCAGTACGTGCAGACGGATCCCAAGCATTTGAAAAAGGGCCCCGTTCCTCAATTACGAGAAGCGCGTAGAAGCAGTCCTGAACTAGTCTAGGGAACCCATCAAAAAAAGCAGAAATTCCCATACGTACAAAGTTACCGAGCCGCTGATGGTAACCTGGGCAAGGTTGTCAAAGGTCGCACAGCTAAGACTGATACTGAGAGCTTGCTAGACCAAAGCGAAGGCGTCGGGATGGGCATGCAAACAGCTCTGTCCAGCTGGAATTGCAAGAGCAGCTTCCATTAATGTTTAAATACGTAGAGAAAACCACAGGACCGTCCGATAAGGCGGCGATAAGAGAAGCAAAAATCTCCGAAGTCAGAGAGAGCCTCAAAAAAGAGGTAGGCGTAACAATGCAGAACAAGATGAGTGTCAGCAAGATGAGCACGTTTTAAAACAAATCTGGTGTTATTAGTAATTACTGGTTGTAGAACAAG